CATGTCCTGGATGTAGGAAGGGCCAGATCCATTCACAGCATGGTACGCAAGTACCATTGTCTTGAAGTGGATTCTAGCAGTTACCGGAAGCCAGTGAAGGGAGCGGAGGAGCGGCGTGGTGTAGTAACATTTTGGAAGGTTGAAGACCAGACGAGCAGCTGCATTCTGGATGAGCTGCAGAGGTCGGATTGCACATGCAGGTAGACCAGCCAGGAGGGAGTTGCAGTAGTCTAGGCGTGAGATGACGAGAGCCTGGGCCAGAACCTACATCCTCCTGGAATTTCAAAATGAGCTAATGCTAATCTTACCTTCATCTTTTCTCTCTCCGCTTCTTTTGCCAAGTCATCCACCAGCTCAATAAGACCGCCTACTATCTTCTGAAACTGGCCGATTTCTGCAAAGGAGGACACATATTTACTAGGGCTGTACCCGAATATTCGACTATTCGAATATTCGTTCGTTGGCCAACTATTCGGGTTTCAATTTCATTATTCAGATATTCGTTTTTTTTTCAAAGAAAATAAATATTTTTTTCTAAATGTATGTTATTAATAAAGGCGAATTGCCATATTCTTATACTATATTTATACTTTTGAATTGCACTGTTAAAATGCGGAAATATATACAATCTCAGCCTGTGCTCCTGACATCGCGTTCACTCACAGTCACGAACGCAAACGGCACGCTTCACCTCGCTTCACCTCGCTTCACCTCGCTTCACCTCGTTTCACCCACAAAATGCTGAAGACTTTAGCTGTGTGGGACCGTTTCAAATTGGACGACGTTAAGAAGAATATGTGCCAAATATGCAATAAGAAACTGGCCTACCACGGTGGCACAACAACTCTGAAAAGTCACCTGGATGCTGTAAGTAGTAGCCTAGCTTAGCTGTTGTCAAGTTGCCATGATGAAGCTGCTTTATCCGCCGTTTAAACAGTAACGTTACACATGATAAAAACGTGCACTTACTTTGCTTGGAAAATAGTTGCAAGCAAGCAACCGCATTGTTTTTTTATATAATTTGATCCGAATAGTGAAAATAATAGGAGTAATGTGGGAACATCTGGGGCTAAGGCAATTATTGGCATAAAGTTGAGTAGCTCAGCCTAATAATAACTTGTGTCCATAGGTGCATCCCCACGCATCCCAGCCATCAAGATCCTCAACCATACAGCAGACCCTACAGTTACCCTACAGAGGACACATTTAGTTTTAATGTTTGCGAGTACTGAGACAATAAATAAATATAAATCGTAATAGTATGCTCTGTCTGCGCTTCTGCTTCACAGCGTGTTGTCAGGTGTCTCGGATTCGGAGTGTGTAATGAAACCTTTTTAAAAAAAAAGTTATTTAAAAAAAAAAAAGTTTTTGAAAAATATTTTTATAAAAAAAAATTACAAATCTCTCCGCAACGAATATTCGAATATTCGCTGCTGATTACTACCGAATATCCGGAGCCCGAAAAATGGTATTCGGGACAGCGCTAATAGTTACACATCCTGTATGTTGGAAGGGAAAGAAACACACAGCATAATCAACCTTTCAAAAATATTCAGTGCTTACTATCCACAAACTCTTTACACTCTTCCTTGAGCTCGGAGGTTTTCTGGCTGACATCAGGCTCCAGTACCCGCAGCTTGTTGAGTTCGTCAAAATAAAAGCCTGCCTCGGCTAACGGGTCTTTAGCCATGGCCACAGGGCCTGTCACAAAGGAGACATAAAGAATGAGGTTAGAAGAACGTGACAACTGAGACAGTTTAAATATGAATTGTAGGCCAGCAGGTGAAACGCCCTAGTTTCTCTCTTTTGCTCTTCGAATGTTTGAAATGACATGCTATGTTGGTATTTTCCTTTTTCCCTTAGAAAATAACTTTCTAAACAGATACAAAAACGATTTATTGCAGAAACAAAATGAATTACACATATAAAACAGTAAAAGAAGAATGAATACATTATTCAAACTCCAACTTCAAAGTGTTGTATGACAGGGGATATTACTTAGATTTAAAATGGTCTATCTATTACAAAAATGTGACCCTCTATAAGTGTTAAACCTCAACAGTGCAACTTGGCTCTAAATAATGGCTTTGTCACTTATGTATTGGGCCCCATGCAATCTTAACAGTCTTTAGAATGAAGATGTTTTGAATTGTAGATTGTCAGCTGTTCCCTGATCCAGGTCAAAATTATCTAGGCAGGAATGTTCTGCTGTTTTAATCTGCACACATGTGAATGAAAAGCTTCCAGCTTCCTCTATTCTTACTGAACTGTTGCTTAGCGTCGTGTTATCCATGTACCCTTCATACACAATAATATAAATTTAAAAAGGACTTTCTACAACCTAAAAGCTTGAAAAGCCATTTCAAAATTAAAGAGTAATCCTCCCAACCATCGAAATAAACACTATCAAGCTTTTGTTGGAGGGGATTCCAGACTTTTGAAGGGAGGCACATTAAAAAATGTCTGTTAGATAATGTTACCTTTACAAAGAAACCAAATGAGATTGATAACAAAGTGCTGACAAGAGGTTTGCTATCCAGCAATAACAACGTGGCAATATCTATGTAGCTGTCTGTTTCTCTAAATGCTCATTTATGAATAGGTATCTCACACAATCTTATTTAAAATACCTAGATTTTACCTTTAAACTAATATATCGGTTTTTGTGGTATTGATGTGTGTGTATGGGTGTTTTTATAGATCTCAACTATACAGTGTGTGCCTTGGGGAGGATGTGCTATACTTCTCACAGTAAGACAAATCTTATTTTTGATAAACATGCCAGTGGAATTGCTCACGCACTATTTACATTCACCTACTTTCTGGAAATAATAGAAATATGTTATTTTCTGTAAATGTATTGTAGAAGTGTAATAAAACAATAAACATTTTATATTGAATTAAATGGTAAACTTGTTAATCATATATGGTATATCCTTTCTACATAAATGAAAAATAACAAAAGTGACCACCAATTCTTTATAAAGAATACTTTAAGACTATTCAATACTAAAACAAGTGATGAACCTGTCAAATTGTATGATACAATCATTTAAGAATAATGTATATTTATTTCTAATGTGTTGATATTTATGAAGTTTATTTGTGCCTATTTTATTTTTGTATTATCATTATTTGATGTATTTGATTATTTAGTATATTGAGTGGTTGAGTACACGGCTGAAATGCTTTTTTCTTATATTAAGATTTGAATAACAAAAAACACCATATGGCAAGGTAGCTCTCTTTATACACTTGTTGACAGTGTATGTTTGCGTGTAACCATATTCACAGAAGCTTTACGCTAAGTATTAGAGTTAAGTTGATAGGTACTGAGTTATAGTTTAACGTTAGATAACTTTGAATGTATCGCAAGTTATCTGGTTGGTATTGAACGTTAACCTCTGTTAGCTAAACGTGAATCATGTGTTTAGTTCACACAATTAAAAAGATTCTGATAGAGTGGACAGAGTGTAAAATAGATAGAACGGTTAATATAATGTTAGGCGTTTCTTCCCAGTGACAATGCCTGCCTATGCCTTTAACGTTATCTACCCTAATGTAAGTTAAATCATCTCAGCTAGTTAGCTACATTTCGCTAGCCTGTTCACAAAAGCTAATTGGATAAGGGCTGAAAACCCCATACGCTAACCCCATTGAGTTCCCTAGAAAGCTGATGTTATATTATACCGCATGTATCTTATTGGGGACAGAAAACTCTTTGTTTTACCTTATTAAACCGTTATCACCGTGACCGTAGATGGCTCTGTGTTGTGCGATGTGGCATAGCAGTTCACCATTGGCTCCTCCTCGTCCTCTTCCCGCTGCCAAGGAAACCAAATGCTGCTGCTGCCAGTGTGTGCTTGCGTGCGTGTGTGTGTGTGTGTGTGTGTGTGTGTGTGTGTGTGTGTGTGTGTGTCATGGTGTGCATGCTTGTCGTTGGTGGTTAGCTTAACATGGTTGAATTATTGGCAGTGATCAGACAGTCACTATGTCTGGTGAACATTGTTCATTTACAATAAAAAATATGTGATATTTTTTAACGCCAAAATGACATCTATTGCCCTTTTTACTTCATATGATTTACAGTGTGAATTAAGTGCCACCAGTACTAATGTTGTACAATTTGAAGTATGTGTAGGCACTGGCAGCAAACAGCTTGCAACACAGGTTTCTGACTGTAGAGGGCAGCGTTAGGCTTAGCGACGTAAAGCCTGCCGTAAAGTCATTCAAAGAAGAAGAAAGGGGAGCGAGTGTTTAACTTTAGTTCGAACCTTGATACAACTAACATCTTGATACTGTTGTGGATTTCCATCAAAAGGGGATAACGGTCAGGTTGATAAGCCATACGTTGTGCGGTTATCAGGACACGTAAAGACAGTAGAGATCGGTAAGTAAAGTTCGTAAACTCTTAACGTGTTGTTCCACTGCTGGATGTAGCTGGGGACGATAACGTCACGCACTCTATTGAAAACATGGCATTAAATGTGACATATTAAGAAAAATATAAACATGACGAGAATGTATGGCATTTGCTGATTATTGCTTTACTTGTTGAGGGATTCGGTGTGTGTACTTCAAAAACCAAACCGGATTTTTTACTTTTTCGATTGGCTAGTTTGTCTAGCTGTCCTGCCTTCGTATTGAAGTGTACCCACCCTATTCAACCTTAGCTAACATTAGCAAAACACACCCACGTAGGAAGTAACATGTTACATGGTTTGTTGTGTTGCATTGACATATTAAGTGGTATGAATTGACTTGACGAATTGACCAGAAGTACTTTTTTTAAGTACGTAACGTTGACATAAACAGCGTTACACGATATTAGGCCCTTTTTGAAGTTAAACAATACAACAACTAAATTAATTTGAAAGGAAGGTCAGTCTTTAACATGTCTGAATACGACCAAACAGACAGACAGCCGAGCTAACAGTGCCTTTCGTCTTGCTGTTAATCGTTGTATTACTACACTATAGAGATTTTAGTATTAGTCCTCACCGGCTAATGGGTTTAAGCCGGTGTTGCAGTATAAGTTGAGTCATGACAACTGGCGACATTCTATTATTTTCGTCATAGGAATCCGGGGCGTGTACATTGAGGACCCATTGTTGACTTACCAGGAAAGAAACATCGTTTGTCGTTTACGTTCATCTTTTGCTATATCTGCCTTCCTAAGATCACTTTGCTGCACATTCAGTACTCGTATGTGAGGTTGTGGGTGAGAGGCCGATATCGTGACGCTTACATGGAGGTATCGAACATTACAAAGTAGGTGACTGTGTGGATGCCTGTTCAAAACATTGCAAACTTCAATAAATCATTTAAATTATATATTTGTGTCCGACTTTCATTTGTTCATCGTTCTTAATGTGATGTATAGTAGCTTTGATAGCTGTCCATACCTTCAGACAGCCTAAAAGTAAAACACAAGTTGTTTATTCACAGCCCGAACGCTCATCGAGATGACTGGACAGTCATGACAACTTGTGATCAGCTCCGATTAAATTGTGATATCAATTCTGTAGCTAACCTCCAGGGAGCACGTTTATTTTATGAAATACCTGTATCCCTCTCATCACAACAAGACTCTACACTGTACAGGAAAAACAATTACATACATGAAAATAACCTTGATGCATGGGAATTAAACACACAAACTATCTTCCGTGGCTATACTGATATGTCACAGTAACGGTAAACCACAGAAAAGTAAGTCCAGCGGGGCACAAGTTGAATACATATAATACGGTAGTTCTATTATGCCTTTAAGCCTATACGGTTTAACCCATAAGAACCCGCACCCATTTCTACTTTTGGGGAAATTAAGGGGAACGTCATCTAGACTAAATAGACACATTTACTGACAAGTAACCCCCCCTAGTGTCAAATATCTGGGCTTTAATGGTAAAGTAATTCTTATTTATAACTTAATTAAC